GAATATTATCCCATTCTTGATCAGTTATCATGTTTTAAAACTTATCATGGTAACAAAATGATTTCGTAGGTCAACGTTTACAACTTTCTAGTGTTTAGGGAACTGTTTATCCCAGATTGTTGGTGTTGCAGTCCATTCTTTCTCAGTTAGCTATAATTTATTGACGGAGCCACCAGTAGGCCACAAAGGACCTTTGTGAGGTTGTAAAAAGGTGCTCTCCCCACCCCTGACACACGCAGCCCTGCAGGTGCACAAGGCTGGAGTTCAGCTGTCCCCCACTCCTCAGTGGGGCACCCCGTGTAGTGAGAAAACCTGCACCGCCCCCAGCTTCCCACGTACCTGTTCATGTCACGTACCATGGTGGGGAACCACACACATTAGCACCTCAAGCAGTTCTCTGAAGATGCTTAAAAGGCAATCCCTGTATCCCCATTTTACAGATAAAAAAAGGTGAAGTCTAGAGGGGTTAGGAACTTATCCAAATGGCACAGTTGAATAAATGGTGGAATCAGGATTCACATCCAACATCAGTAGAGTCTGGAATGCACTGCTCAAGCTGAAGAGGAGGATAGATTAAACAAATCTAGAAATTGTACTTGCCTCGGCAGCTGGGAATAAAAATATTCTGAAGGCTAGAAATTGGGTGCCTGACAGGAAGTGTTTGGGGTGACTGTAGACTTCATTGCTGTACTCTCTGAGAGGCGGTTTGAAACTACCATTTGTTTTCCAACCTTTTCATTTATTTATTCCCATCTTCTCTTTGTTTCTGAATAAGCTTAGAGAAAGGTGCCAGTATCAGAATGAATGAAATTACCTTACTTTTCTGTTTGTCAATGTTTTCTTCCTTGCTCTCGTCATCAAGTGAGGTATAATACCAGTGATGGCTAATGTGGATTGTCACTCAATGACGCTAGTCACTGTGCTTATGCTTTCCAGTAGCAAGGGGACAAGTGGAATCCTCACAACAACTGCTAATACAGTTACTGCTTTACAGGTGGTGAAACTGAGGCACAAAGAGCTGTAATCAGGCTAGTGAGTGCAGGAATCAGGCCTCAGACCCACTACATTTTGGGTGTGTTTTCAAAGCCATATGATATCTGTCTTCCCTTTTAGAATAGATTACCCTCTTCTATCATGTAGGAAAAAGAACTTTTGGGCTGTTAATTAAGAACTGTGGCCTCCAAAATACATTCATTTCAAAATTCAAGCAGAAAGCATTTAATAAATTCTTTCTTTTTTCCCTCATCCTCCCATGTGTTTGTTTTTGTACCCAAGAGCCTGGCTGATATTACCGTTGCAATTCTCTCTTAACTGGAGCTAGTCTTTTGCAAATCTGTATTAGTAGTGGTTGCAGAGAGAAGTTACTTCAAAGCATATACAATGAAAGCTGAGATTCCGTATTACAAATTATGAAGGAAAGTAGGTCATATGTGGTTTTCTGTAAGGTTTGGGACATTTAAAGTATAACACATGAGAAACTTAAGGCAGCCTCATGATTTTTTGTATTACCATTTGACCCAGTTAAGGAAAAGAATAAATATTTTGACTGCAAAAAAATACAAAATGAATTTCTCACTGCACTTAGAGCAGTTTCTCTCTCTCTCTCTCTCTCTCATGATCATTTTATTTATTACTTTTTTCCTCTAAGTTTTTATTTAAATTCCAGCTAGTTGACATACAGTGAAATATTAGTTTAAGGTGTAGAATTCAGTGACTCATCACTTACGTACAATACCCAGTGTTCATCACAGGTGCCCTCCTTAATACCCATCACCTGTTTGATCCATTCTCCTCCCACCTCCTGCCCACCTCCTCTCCAGTAATCAGTTTATTCTCTATAGTTAAGATTTGCTAATCATTTTAAAAAATGTTTTATCTCCTTTGGGATACCTTAGGAAAATATTAGAAGACATGACATTCATCTGTTATATTTCCCAGTTTGGTTGAGTATTTTCAGGTTGTTTTATAAAAATATTATATGTTGGGGACATTTGCCTACTTCAAGTATGTCATTAAGATAAGGAAAAGTACCTAACAATGAAAATTGATACTGTGATCATGGGCATAAATGTTCTAGTTGTGGCAAAAATTGATAGATCACTTGGACACTAGTGATCTATGGGTAAATAACTTTTCACAAAACTTTTGGTTTTGGAGAAAAAACTTGAATCAGTCTGATAACATATGTTTTTCAAAATATGAAATTGAGTGACTTTGTTTTGGGTGTTGCCACATTTTCCCCCCACAGCTTTCTGCCCTAGAAGAATGATGCCTTTGGAATTTACCCACAGGTGGCACAGCTGGATGAAAGTCATTTGTCTCATTTAACTGACAGTACTAATCACTGTAATAACTATTTTACCAGAAAAGATAATTTGGCAGACATCTATGATTAGTATATTAACACATTTCCTTAATTCCCTAGGGCGACCATCACCAGAACATCCTTTGTGTGATCTAAATGAATTGTCCTGTCATAATGAGTTTCTTTATAGGCCTGAGAAATCACTTTTGTTAAATTGTCTAAAGTGCTATTAATTTGAAAGCTTCATTCATAATGAGGTCTGAGGGAGAGGCAAAGGATGGCCCTTCACCCTGTTCTGATATATAACATATACTGCCAGGGCCCTGAATCTCCCCTAATCCTCCCCAAACTTGGCTTCTCCAAGCCTTGGCTTGAATTACTCTATATCCAGGGCTCCAAAGCTGGAAGCAGGGGTAAATGATTTGATGTGAACAAATATATTAAAAAGAGAGACAATTGGCAGTGACTTGAATTAACGATAATACACAACCTAAGGAAGTGAAGAACTATGACAATTTAACTCAGGGAAAAACGAAAAATAACTTACACAAAGTAATAGCTTACTGTTTGGCTCGGTTCTTCCTAGCAGACATATTCATGCTATGGACATGAGCCTGGATACCACTTTACCCAAATTACAATACAATTACTATTTTCAGTGATTGCTCATATACAGTTGCTGAACTGAAAGTAAATGTGACTGTGTGATGGGAGAGGGTAAGGGGTGACAGAGGTGGGAGAAGAAGGAGCCCAAGTCTTTAGTTTCCATGTGGGAATGAACAGAAATGCCCACACTGAAAGATCATGAAGCAACAATTTGCTTAGAGATATAGAAGAAAAATATCCCTCCAAAACAGTTAAATGAATTAAGAAACTTGCCCCAAGGAAGGGGTAAATGGGAGAGGAGATCTGAGTATTAGTTGTGCATCGTAAATAATATGTATGTATGCATATATAATTGGGGTGGGGAGTAACTTAGGGAAAAGAGATTTTAAAAAAGGAAAAAATATTCAGGAAAAAAAAAGATAGAAGCATATCACCTGGAGACCCATTTTAACATGATAGCTTATTTTCTCCGGTATTTTTACCATCTGTGATTTTCTTTCTCTTCCTTCATCATTCTCTTCCAATGATCAACTTTGCTTTAATCATACTGTAATAAAATTGATAACTAACTTGCTGAGCAATTAGGTGCACATTTTATATGCATTGTTCCATTTGATTAACCCAATTGTGCGTGCTGATATTATAACTTATTATATCATAATTACATTCTTATATTAGCATATGGTCTTCATAATCATCTTTTTAAAAAAAGATTTTATTTATTTATTCATGAAAGACACACACACACACACACACACAGAGAGAGAGAGAGAGAGAGAGAGAGAGAGAGGCAGAGACATAGGCAGAGGGAGAAGCAGGCTCCATGCAAGGAGCCCGATGTGGGACTTGATTCCTGGACCCCAGGATCACGCCCTGGGCCGAAGGCAGGCGCTCAACTGCTGAGCCAACAGGTGTCCCCATAATCATCTTTTTTTCATGGTACAATAATATCCCATCCAGCAGAATATCTTTTCCCCAAATTATTAGACTTTTAAGTTGTTTTCCAGCTTTTGCTATTATAAAGAATACTAAGATGATATACTTTTCTCCAAAGCTTTTTCCTGACATTTGTGCTTATAGGATGAATTTCCACAAGGAAGATTACTGGGTCAAAGAGTAGAATCATGTTGCCAAGTTGCTTGTCTTAAACTGTCTAGGGCACTTTTACATTCAGTGTTTAATGTGATGCCTTGTGCAGCTCTGAGAAAGGTGGGGTAGAGAGAGTCACTGCCATTTTACAGATGAGATAACTAGGAGCTAAGTCTTCAAGGTCACACAGCTGGAGGAAGAGCCAGAATTAGGTTCCTGACTCTTTCTTGATTTCTGTCCCCCAAATGAGATGAAACTCAGGCTGAGCAATTCCTGACACTTTCCTTCCCAGATGTCTTGGTCTTTACCTAGTGGAGCTTCTCTGTCAGGGGGCCCTTTCCTTTCACTGAGAGCTATTCTGCTTCAGGAAAAAGTAAGCCCCCTCTAGCAGCCCAAAACCACATGCTGAATGAAATCTTCTACCAAGGCTTAGGAAAAAACAGAGCAAGAAGGGGAAAGAATGTGAGAAAATAAGTGAAATGTGTTTACTTAGAAAACGCAGGATCCATGAGAAGGTGTCTGAGGAGTAAACAAGAAAATACTGTGATTTTGGAGGACCTTAACGCTTAAGATAAGGTATTTGAGCTGAAGACAGTGAGGAAGTTTGACTTATGGAGTGTTAGGGTCATGGTATGGCTTTTTTTTTTTTTTAACTCATTTGTATGCAGGACTTTCTTGAATGTTAAATCTACTTAAAAAAATTTTTTTTACAACCCTGAGACCATGACCTGAGCCAAACCCAAGAGTCAGACACTTAACTGACTGAGCCACCCAGGAGCCCCTAAATCTATTTCTTTCTCTTTTTTTAATAATAAATTTATTTTTTATTGGTGTTCAATTTGCCAACATACAGAATAACACCCAGTGCTCATCCCATCAAGTGCCCCCCTCAGTTTCTTGATAGCAGTATACTTTCTCAGGATAGAAACTAACCAACAATTTGTATTTTTTCTTTTTCTTTTTCAAATGAATGATCAAAAAGTAACTTTAAATATGTATTTTCTCAACCACAGAAGAAAGTGAGTCCTGCTTTGCTCAGCCCAAACCATGTACAATGGGAAAAGAATCTACTCTTTATGGCAAGGTACAAAAGGAAAGTCCTCCCCGACTTGAGAAGCTCAAGATTTCAGCAGTGTCTACAGCTAATGGTATTAAATCACTCCGTGAACAGCCCTTGGCAAACAATGCTGCAGATCTACCAGAAGATACTCAGCTTCTAGAAGGACCCAAGGAGTCTGGGCCACCTCAGCCAGGTGGCACAGATGATACTCCAGAAACAGGAAAAAAGAAGAAAGACATGGGAACAGTGACAGAGGCTCAGCCTTTATTTTTTTTTTTATTTTTTATTTTTTTGAGGCTCAGCCTTTAAAAGGAAATACTGAGACTGAATCTGTAGAAACAGGCACCAAGTACCAGCCTTTGAGGATCACAGGAGAGCAGGACTCTCCTGGAGCAGTGGAAGGTACTGAGAATCCACAAACTGCCAGAGAGATGAAATCTCCAGGAACAGCTGAGAAAATCTCTCCTCTGGAAGCAGCTAAAGAACCACAACCTCAAGAAGCAATGGGAAAGGGTAAACAGACCCAATGCCCAGAAACATTTCCCAAGGAGAATGAATCTTCAGAAGTATTGGAAGGAAGTCAATTTGTGGAAGCAGCTGAAGAGTGGCAACTTCAAGAAACATTGGGAAAAGATGAGCTGTCCCAGCCTCTAGAAACAAGTCCCAAAGAGAGTGAGTCTCCAGAAATATTAGAAGGAAGCCAGTTTGTAGAAACAGGTGAAGAGCAGCAACATGAAGAAACATTGGGAAAAGATGAGCAGTCCCAACTTCTAGAAACAATTCCCAAAGAGAATGAAACACCAGAAATATTGGAAGAAGTCCATTTGTAGAAACGGCTATAAACAATGATTTGCCCCATAAAACTCTTGAAGGTCCAGGAAACATGGAGAAGATTCAACCTGAAGGAATAAGAGTTGGAAGCATGGAGCATCCAGTGGGAATTCTAGAAACAGGAGTAAATATGGACACAGTCAGGAAAACTCATACTAATGAAGAGGACCAACACATCGAAGGTAAAATTTATGCTGGTTGTGTAGATGTGCTGCATAAGTGATCATCCCTAGGGATCTCTATGTCAGGTGGTTGAATTTCATTTGACCCAAACTAGAAGGCTTTCATACCTGGAAAATGGGCTCTTGACTCTGCAGCAGAAATGCTCTACACTTGATCTGAGCCAAAAGGACAAGAAGTGATACAGAAAAATTTTCTAAAGCATAATCTGTGTCCAGAATTTTTAACCTGGATCTATCTTTGTTGAATACACTTGAATGTTGAAGGCAACGTGTTAAAATTTCTGGATTTTTCCAGGTTCACTTTTCATCGGGTCCCATGTATGGTATGAGGATCTAAAGTGGAGATGAGTAAGTGGTTAGCAGAGGAACTTCACCTTCTAATGAAAGAATACCCAGCAAATGGATCTTAACAGTGCAGTTTTCATCTCTGCCCATTTATCCTTAGAAAATCACTGCCAGTCTGCTGCTGTCCTACTATCTTTTTGTCTTTAGGAGAAGACTAGAGACAACGTATTATGTCTTGGCATATGTGTTTTTAAAATGTTCTTTGCCAACATAAAAAAATGGCATCTATTCTACTCTTTATTGGAGTTATAATTGAAAAAAATAACAGTTCTTCTGGGGCATGATTTACATATTGGTAAATTTTAGCTTCACACTATGGTATAATTAAGTAAAGCATTCATCCATATGTTTCTTAATTCATTTATTACCACAGCAGTTTTTGAGTGCTAATCATATGCCAAGTGTGGGGGGTGAGGGTGGGAGTAAGAGATAGGCCCTGTTCTCCAGGGGCTCACAGTCTAATGGGAAGAAGGCTGAATTTAAACACATTACCACGGTCTATTAAAGTAAGTGCTTTAAGGAAGGTGTACAAAAGTGTTCCAGGAATATAAGGGAGGGGCAGGTAAAAGCATGTATTTGTTGGGCTAGACCCTAACCTTAGCAAACTCAAGTCATTAGGGCCGATGATAGTGAGTGAAGTGAGAGGCACATGTTTATGGCATGGGGAGCCCTGGGGATGGTAGTGACCAGGCACACCATCCTGTCAAAGAGGTAGCTACTGCTTAGCTCCATCCGTGAGCCAATATTGCCCACCCTGACTTCTTAGGGAGACAGATTTATATCTACAGTGTCCAGACTTTCAAATGTTTGCAATCTTTAAATGTTTAATGATTGTTTTCTTCAAACACCTCAATGGCCCAACAAAATGGGTTCCTGGGTATGCCTAGACCACCTTTTCATTTAAATATAAATGGAACTTTTTTTTTTGAACATATGCTTCTAGAATTTTAATGCATATATAAACTTCAGAATTAAAATGTGAACATACTATAGATAACTTGCATTGTTCATTCAAAAAGAACCCATGGACATCTTAATGCCTATAAACCACCTTTACAACAATATTTTCATCTGCACATATGGACACAAAACAATTTATTCAGTCAAGACATATTATTGGATATTTACCAAGAACTGAACACTCAGGTTGCTCTCACATTTTTGCTCCTGAAACTGAGCTTGGATAAATATTTTAATAGATAATTATTTTGGCAAATCCATCATTATTTCCTTAGGATAAATCCTTAGAAGTAGAATGCACGGATTAGAAGTTTTTGGGGCTTCTAATACAAATCACCTTACATGGAACTTTTTATTTATATTATGTTCTGCTGTCATTTCTTGAGTAATTCTGAAGCCTGATTTTATATAAAGGGATGTCAAGATAGGAAATGTTAAGGGATGTCGGCCATTCAGAGGATCTGAGAGATTCAGGGCAATTGCCTTTCTTGACACCAGCAGAGAAACTTACTAATTTGACAAAGAGAGCAGGAGCTGCCCATTGGAAACTGGCTGTAGGGTACTTTATTGTTCATGCTAAGTGAGCATCTCTTAATATCTCCTTTGGTTACTTTTCTAGGTGAGACAGGAGAAAAGGTTGAAACAGAGACAGAGAATGAGAAAGGAGGTGAAGGGGCTGGAACAAAAGAAGAAGAAACAGGTGAAGCTGTGGATCTTTCAGCAGCCACATAAATTGGTGTGGTAGTACAAGATAACGGACACAGTGTATTATAACAGAAAAATGTAGTGAAGTGTGAGGGTTACAGATCTTATCTTTCAATCTTATGTATTTTATACAAAGTGTGGTTATCATGTTCCTGATTACATTGTTCCATAAAACTGCTAAGCTATAAATAGTTTTCTTAGGCACTCAGAATAGCCATACATTCAGGACTACAATAGTCACAGCCAATGACAAGTAGGGTGTACAATCACTGGAGTATGAGGGTGTTTTCTTCACTGTGGCAATAGGTCTATTCAGTTTAGAAAATGAGACCCTAAAAAGAAGTTAGAGACCTTAGGTATAGGTGGCTGGAGAAAGGAGTTAACACATTTTAGGGAACTCATGATAATAAGGTTATACATGTATGATTACAATGGGTAAGAATGAACAACAATGTCAAGTCAAGCTATACCTAGTGTTTCTTGTTGCAGAATTGAAAGCTGGTAGGAACATTGGAGAGTGTGTCATCTAGTTACCTTCTCACCTTAAGTCTATCTACTACGGTAGACTCTTATTTATCATGGTGTGTTAAATGTGTTAACAAAATCCTTGTCAAAAAAATGCATTCTGGTGCTATTGCAAGATCAGGCATTTCTACACCGAAAGGCTACACATTTTTCATGCGTCATTTTGAATTTGCTATTGATTTTACACTTAGGTGAAAGATTTCAATTAGTGTTGTCCTTTTGACTGACATTAATATATTTTAAATCAATTGGCTCTTAAATGTGTTTGAGGCAACAAACAACAAGAATTAAAACCTAGATTAGTGGGGCACCCAGGTGGCTCAGTCAGTTAAGCGTCCCAGTCTTGATTTTTGGCTCAGGTCATGATCTCAGGATCGTGAGATCGAGTCTTGCATGGAGCTTCTCACTGAGCTTGGAGTCTGCTTAAGATTCTCTTTCTCCCTCTCACTCTGCCTGCCCCCAGCCCACCTAGGTGGCCCTTCCATGTGCTCTGCAAACTTTCTCTCTCTCTCTAAAAAACAAACAAAACACCTAGATTAGTTGCCTATGAGAAGTTTTTATTTTGGGTCTTTTTGTTTGTTTGTTTTTTTGTTGTTTCAGATTACTATAGTTTAATGTTAGGCTTTAGAGGTAGAAAGGAGTTAAGAAATTAGAATTTAAAAACCATTTATAATATTTTATTAATGTTAAAATGATGTACATTGAAAGTTGCTTTTCAAGAATTCTTCCAAAATTGCCAAGAGATTTTGGTAAAAGATTATACATGAATAGTAATGATAGCAATCTTGTCTACCATTGAGTGCCTGGTGTTTATGAATATCAGGATAGAATTATAGTCTGGAAACGGTTTCTTTTTCTTAAATGTAAATATATATTTTTAAGGTAACTGCTCAGATGAATTAACTAGAATCTTTTACTTTAGCTTTTGTATTAAAATGACTAATAAGTTGACCTATAATTAATTTCAAGGATATAGGATTCAGGGAAGAATTATCATCTTTATTCTGACTTTAACATTAGTTTATGCTTCTGACCTTAAAGAGCTGAAGTAGACAACAAAAGGAGGTACTTGAGTAGATGACATCCTCTTTTCTGCAGAGTGGCTGGACTGTGATTTTATTGAGAGCAAGGACTATTTTATGTATCTCTAATTCAGGCATTTAGCTCCTTTAGTAGAATATGATAGGTGCTTGATAAATATTTGTCAAATCAATCAATGAATAGTAAATACCAAGGGTTCGCATTTATTTATAATTCATTTAAAAAGAATATATTTAGGGGTCCCTGGGTGGCGCAGCGGTTTGGCGCCTGCCTTTGGCCTGGGGCGCGATCCTGGAGACCCGGGATCGAGTCCCACGTCGGGCTCCCGGTGCATGGAGCCTGCTTCTCCCTCTGCCTGTGTCTCTGCGCCTCTCTCTCTCTCTGTGTGTGACTATCATGAATGAATAAAAAAATTAAAAAAAAAAGAATATATTTAAAATCTCAGTTTGTGTAGCACATTTTCACGAGTGCTGCTCAAGCTCAGTAACAAGCTATATATCTTGTTTAGTTCTGAAAACAGCACTATTTTTTGGTCAGAAAGTTACATAAATCAGAATTGATATAATATCTTTCAAGCTGCCTTTTGTAACCCAAACGTGTTTTTCCTGACCAAAAGGTATTTTTATACAGATATCTAGTAACTAGAAAATGATAGAGCTTAGTGTAAAATATGAAAATCACCTTAAAAGGTGGAATTGTACTTTGTATCAAGTACTGAAATAGTAGGATTCATTTACTTAATAGACGTAAAGATCCATTCTTTATTGTGTAGATTATCTTTTTTTAATCCGTAGCATGTGTTAAAGAAATTTCTTTAGAACTGATTCTTCAAACAACTCTTTCCCAAAGCATTATATAGTGGCAATGTAAGTTTTCAAGTTGTTTGTTAATCTTATTATTTTCCATTAATTACTAGGTTATTTATTCTTGGATTTTGGAAATTTGTATAAATTTCTGGTACTTTTTATACTTTTGCCTTTAATGTGGTTACTAAGACATTTTTAGAAACTGTTCTTTTTTTTTAGAAACTGTTCTTATTCTTTTAGATAATACTAGTAATTTTTTATTAAAACCTATAAATTAAAAGTTCCATAATATTTGAGTATCCTAGAATTGAAATATTTCATCTAAATAAGGATTTTGTTTAAATAAAATTAAAGTAATAAGCACCTGTAGTAAAACTCAAATAATACAGAAAGGTATAAAACGGGCAGTAAAGTTCTCCCTCCCATATCTTTTAGACTTTCTATGAAAGGATAATTAGGTTTCTTCATATGTTTCCACAAGAAGGTAGTATATATGCTATGCTATATGCATATGCTACAACGTAAGTGTATATTTACATATCCACATTTTAAAACACAAATGAGAATTTACATAGCCCTATGTTGTAAAAAGTGCATATAAAAACCACAATCTATCCTTCCCTATGTTAGAATTTTTTTCTTTTGCCTAAGACTGATGGACAGTGTAGCCAAGTGGATTCTGCTTCAAAGTGCTCAGACTCTGAGAAGAGATTATCAGTTTTGCTCCAAATTCAAAACATAGAAGTGACTGGGTGACGGGCACTGAGGTGGCAACTTGACGGGATGAGCACTGGGTGTTATACTATATGTTGGCAAATCAAACTCCAATAGTAAAAATATACAAAAAAAACCCCATAGAAGTTGGACAAAAGGATTGAGCCGTTTGTAAGGAATTCATAGAGAGACTATCATCAGGACTGGATTCTCTCATATTGGGGTGCTATATAGGATTGTAGCCCCTTTTATGGTCTACTAAGATAATTTCAGCATTTTCTACAAATAAGTGGAAGGGGAAATGGAGAACAAATGGTTTGCCTGCTAGCAATCCCGGTATGGAGTGTTTACCAACAGAGGGTGCCAGTTGCAAAGCTAGGAAATTCCCAGTCTGATGTCAGAATTCTTGGCCAGAAGTGCTGTGTACCCAGTCCCCTGGGGAACCCACAGGGTAGGAATATGTGGTCAACCTGTGACTTTAGTGTCTTTTCCATTTCGACTTTGGAATAAAAGCTCCTAACAACTTGAACAGTCAAAACAGTCAAAACACCCACGTCCCTTTTAACAAATGCTTTGTTCTACATTTGGCCTTGAATTAAAAATAAAAATGGCTTTAAAAGGAAAATGTTTTTTCCATGTTTAACTAATCCAAGAGTATTATATAGTTATGGCTGAATAACCTTGACCAGATTTACATCTGTGCTCTTTAGGAAACTACAAAAGCTTGTTAGAGCACCTAAGTTACAAACTTCTCATTTTTATAATGATGATTTGGTGACCACTTGTGAATTGTTTCACAAATGCCCGAAATGTGAACATCATAAAGCCATTCATTAGCTAACTCACATTTGTAAGGTAAAGGGAGGAATGATATGCTTTTCTTTTTCTCTCCCCACACTAAATAGCAGGGCACGGCTGCATCTGAAAAGTTGAAAGCATTTGCTCACAAGATAACATTAAATCTAAAACTAAAACTTTGTCAGCTCCTTTCTTCCTCAGAGTTTATAAAGTTAATGAGCATTGGGTTATACTTGCAAGGTTTTAATTACAGAAACACAATAGTGTAATCCTAGAGAGCAACTCACAGGGATGGAGTTTCTCTTTTCAGTTGTTACTATCAACAAAAACTAGGGAACTCCTCCCTGGCATTACTAATCCGTGTAGAATCAAATTGGAGGCCATTAGCTTTATTTCAGTAATACCACTCAGCAGATTTACTGGGCAGTATGAGATATTGCAAGCTCACCCCGTATCATTATTTCTGTGGCTAATGAAAGAAGTCTCCAGACATTAAAGTCAGGCTTTAATAATGTTTGAAGGTGGAAGAAGGGCGCCCATTCAGTTTAATAACATGCTATATAGACATGAATAAACATACTACTCCTACCCACTACTAGGGACAGCAAGCCTCACCAGTTGGCAGAAAAGGAGTTCTGAGAAAACAGGGATACCAATATTTTAAAATTGAAGTATAATTGACAAACATATGGATACTAACTTTGGTTTGAAATCTGCCTCATTTTTTTTCTTGTAGAACATAGACAGTTCTCAAATGTTTCCTAATAAAAGTATGAGCAGTCCGGGTGGCTCAGCAGTTTAGCACTGCGTTCAGCCCAGGGTGTGATCCTGGAGACCTGGGAAGGAGTCCCACATCAGGCTCCCTGCATGGAGCCTGCTTCTCCCTCCCTCTACCTGTGTCTCTGCCTCTCTCTCTCTCTGTGTCTCTCGTGAATAAATAAATAAAATCTTTAAAAAATAAATAAGGGATCCCTGGGTGGTGCAGCAGTTTGGCGCCTGCCTTTGGCCCAGGGCACGACCCTGGAGACCCGGGATCGAATCCCATGTTGGGCTCCCGGTGCATGGAGCCTGCTTCTCCCTCTGCCTGTGTCTCTGCCTCTCTTTCTCTCTGTGTGGCTATCATAAATAAATAAAAAAAATTTATTAAAAAAAATAAAAATAAAAAATAAATAAATAAAAGTAACTATAGCAAAATAGCATTCATGCTATTTATATATCATGATATAAATTTATGAAAAAAGTAATGCATATTATGTTGAATTGATTTATGCAACCCTGATTCCAAACATTTAAAAAAACATATTCAAGGACAAGAACAGAGGCTTTCTATAGCAGCTGTACTGTTGGGAGAGGGGCATTGGGTTGGGAGGGGCGTCAGCCCTAGTACCCAGTAGGAAGTCATGAAGGACCATACTGTCACAAGTCACAAGGTGACTTTTCTGAATATCACCACACTCCCAGCAGTTCAGGAGGGGAGAGACTAACAGTTAATTTCAACCACAGATAGTAGTTATTTAGTAG